AAACCTCTAGCCAGGCTTCTCAAAAAGTAAAGAGAGAGCACTCAAATAGACAAAATCATGAAAGAAAACGGATTGACTACAACCAACCCCTCAGAAATATGAGCAATTATCAGGGAATACTATGAAAAACTATATGCCAACAAACTGGATTGAACAACCTAGAAGAAATGGACAAATTCCTAAACACACACTCACTACCAAAATTCACACTGGAAGGGATAGAAAACCTGAACAGACCCATAACAAGTGAGGAAATCTAGTTAGTTATCAAAAATCTCCCAACTAATATGAGCCCTGGGCCAAATGGCTTCCCAGGGGAATTCTACCAGACATTTAAAACAGAATTAATACGCATTCCTCTCAAACTATTCCAAAAAACAGAAATCGAAGGAAAACTTCCAGACTCATTTTATGAAGCCAGCATCACTCTGATTCCCAAGCCAGACAGAGACCCAGCAAAAAAGGAGAACTACAGGCCAATATCCTTGATGAATACGGATGCAAAAATTCTCAACAAGATCCCTGCAAATCGAATACAAAACACATAAAAAGAATTATCCAGCAAGATCAAGTGGGATTCCTGGGTTACAGGGCTGGTTCAACATTCACAAATCAATCAATGTGATACATCACATCAACAAAAGAAAAGATAAAAGCCATATGATCCTGTCGATAGATGCAGAAAAAGCATTTGACAAAATACAGCATCGCTTCTTAATAAAGACCCTCGAGAAAGTCAGGATAGAAGGAACTTACTTAAACATCATCAAAGCCATCTATGAGAAGCCCTCAGCTAACATCATCCTCAATGGGGAAAAACTGAGAGCTTTCCCCCTGAGATTAGGAACACGACAGGGATGTCTACTCTCACCACTGCTGTTTAACATAGTGCTGGAAGCCCTAGCATCAGTCATCAGACAACAAAAGGAAATCAAAGGCATCAGAGTTGGTAAAGAAAAAGTCAAACTTTCACTTTTTGCAGACGAGATGATACTCTACATAGGAAACCTGACAGACTCCACTAGAAGCCTACTAAAACTCATCCAAGAATTCAGCAAAGTTGCAGGGTACAAAATCAACATACAGAAATCGGTTGCATTTTTATACACCAATAATGAAACAACAGAAAGAGAAATCAAGAAACTGATCCCATTCACAATTGCACAAAAAAACATAAAATACCTACGAATAAACCTAACCAAAGATATAGGAGCTCTGTGTGATGAAAACTATAGAAAACTTATGAAGGAAATTGAAGAAGACACAAAGAAATGGAAAAACGTTCCATGCACATGGATTGGAAGAATAAATATTATTAAAATGTCATTACTACCCAAAGCAATCTACACATTCAATACAATCCCAATCAAAATTGCACCAGCATTCTTCTCAAAACTAGAACTATCCTAAAATTTATATGGAACCACAAAAGCCTCTACTACAAAACTGTAATCATCAAGACAGTATGGTACTGGCACAAAAACAGACACATAGACCAATGGAATAGAATTGAGAACTCAGAATTGGACCCACAAATGTATGGCCAACTAATCTTTGACAAAGCGGGAGAGTATTCAATGGAAAAAAGACAACCTCTTTAACAGATGGTGCTGGGAGAACTGGACAGCAACATGCAGAAGAATGAAACTAGATCATTTTCTCACACCATACACCAAATTAAACTCAAAATGGATAAAGGACAAAAAATAAAAATAAAAAAATAAAAATAAAAATAAAAAAATTTAAAAAAAAGGATAAAGGACCTGAATGTGAGACAGGAAACCATCAAACCCCTAGAAGAGAATGCAGGAAACAATCTCCTTGACCTCCACCGCAGCAATTTCTTACCTGACACATCCCCAAAGGCAAGGGAATCAAGAGCAAAAAATGAACTACCAGGACCTCATCACGATAAAAAGCTTCTGCACAGCAAAGGAAACAATCCATAAAACTAATAGGCAACTGACAGAATAGGAAAAGATAGTTGCAAATGATATATCAGATAAAGGGCTAGTTTCCAAAGTCTATAAGGAACTCGCCAAACTACACACTCAAAAAACAAATAATCCAGTGAAGAAATGGGCAGAAGACAGGAACAGACACTTCTCCAAAGAGGACATCCAGATGGCCAACAGACACATGAAACAATGCTCAGCATCCCTCCTCATCAGGGAAATACAAATCAAAACCACACTGAGATAGCACCTCATACCAGTCAGAGTGGTGAAAATAAACAAATCAGGAGACTCTAGATGCTGGTGAGGATGTGGAAAAATGGGCACCCTTCTGCACTGTTGGTAAACTGTGCAGCCGCTCTGGAAAACAGTATGGAGGTTTCTCCAAAAATTAACAAGAGAATTCCCCTATGACCCAGCAATAGCACTGCTAGGAATTTACCCAAGGGATATGGAATGCTGATGCATAAGGGCACATGTACCCCAATGTTCATAGCAGCACTCTCAACAATAGTCAAAACATTGAAAGAACTTAAGTGTCCATCAACTGATGAATGGATCAAGAAGATGTGGTATATTTATACAATGGAATACTCCATGGCAATAAGAAAGAATGAAATCTGGCCATTTGTAGCAACGTGGATTGAACTAAGGGTGTTATGCTGAGCGAAATAAGTCAGGCATGGATTGAACTAAGGGTGTTATGCTGAGCAAAATAAGTCAGGCAGAGAAGGACAGATACCATATGTTTGCGATACCATATGTTTGCACAAAAAGGTGGATTAGGAGGAAGCTAACGGAGGACCATGAGGGAGAAGAAGGGTAAAATAGTTGGGGAGTGGGAAGGAGGCATACCATGAGAGACTCTTGAATGCTGAGAACAAACTGAGGGCTGATGAGGGCAGGGGAAAGGCGAAGGGGACCACACTTGTTGGGATGAGCACTGGGTGTTATATGTAAGCCAACTTGAAAATAAACTATTTAAAAAAAAAAAAACAGGTGCCTCAATAAAAGGGAAAATCCAAACAGCAATGAACATAAGGGAAAAAATCATAATGAAACTTAAAAACACAACTACAATACACATCCAACAGAATGGCTAAATTTAAAAGACCACCAATAACAAATATTACATAAGATGTGGAATAATGGGAACTTGAAAACACTACTATAAGAAGGTGCAAACTGGAAAAGAGTTTACTTCTGAAGCTAACCATGTGTGTACCCTATAACAACTACTAGTCCTACACCCTATATAAACACACCATTACATGACCAGGGAAACATACAGAACATTCATGAAAGTTTTGTTCATAAAAGCCAAAAGTGAAAACAACCAACATGACCTGTAGTGGCACAACAATAAATATACTGTAACACATTCATACAACAGAATATTATACGGCAAAGAAAATGTACTAGAGCTATACAATGTAGAAAAAATTTAGAAATGTTCATAAGGTATGAAAGAAGCCAGGCATAAAAGACTACACACTGAATGATTCTGGTTGTATAAAATTCAGAAACAGGATATAATGAACTATATTCCTAAAGAAAACAAAGAAGTGACTGCCATAAAGTCAGAATAGTGATTATCTTTCGATAAAAGGGGAAGACTATGATCAGTCAAGGGAGGTGTAGGGAAACTCTAGCATGCTAGTAAATATATTCCTTGGTGTCAGTGATGATACACAGGAGTTCACTAAGGAGTTCACTTAATTTATTAAGATTTAAGTTTCTGTTTTATGTGCTTTCTACCTTATCTTATATTTCAAAATATAAAGAGTTTAAAAATACTATAATAACAGATTCAGGCAAAGATTATCAATAGATGTAAATTCACTGGGTGAAAGGCTGCTGGGATACAGGCTAGTTATCTAGTCTCTAAGTATCACCTTGTAAATCATTTATTAATTATAAAGAGAAATTCTTGACTGGATCCTTCTGACTGGAGGAAAAAACAGTTTATAAATATTATTGGCAAAATTAGGATCTCATGAATACGATCTGTATACTAGATGATTTAAAACACATGCTGAAATAATTAAAGGTTAACTGTCAAAATGTCTGCAACTTGCTTTCAAATGTTAACAGCAGAAAGACAGAGAAAGAGACAAAAAGAGACAATGGCAGCGCAACAGAGAAACAAAGGATACTAACTGATGACTCTAACTGAAGAATATCCAAGTGTTCATCACACTACTCCAACCTTTCAGTAGTTAAGACCTTTCTTAAAATAAAAAGAACCAAAACAACCCAAAAAGAAACAAAAAAGAGAAACAGGGTTTACATTTACTAGGAGGCAGCAAAAAGGATTGGTTTATTTCAAGCATGTTATGGCCTCATAAATAATAACTGGGAAGACTGTAATAATATGTGCTCTTTAAAAAAGAGAAAAATTCTCATAATTTGTGGAAGAAAAGGAGAATAAGCCTATTCAAATATAACTTTTTTAAATGACTAGGGGAAAACTACTAGAAGAATACATATTAAAATACTGTTTTAGCTTTAAGGTGGTAGTATTATGGATAATATTTTCTGTTTTGTTTAATTTTTTTTAATTTATTCATTTTTGAGAAAAAGAAACACAGCATGAGTGAGGGAGGGGTAGAGAGAGACCGAGAAGGAGACGAAGAATTCGAAGCAGGCTTTAGGGTCTGAGCTGTCAGCACAGAGCCCAACATGGGGCTCAAACTCACAGACCACGATCATGTCCTGAGCCAAAGTCCAAAACTTAACTGACTGAGCCACCCAAGCATCCCCCAAATATTTTTGAAAAGTGTTTTGCTTAAAAAAAATTTTAGTGTAATTTAAAGATCAGCCAGATAACCACATAATATATTGCTGTTGAGCAATTTCAGGTATTTGTACCATTAGGTGGTTTCAATCTGACAAATATCTGCAGCAGAAATCCTACCTGATGTGTCTTTATTTCCTCTTGTCCTAAGGAATTATGGATCACATCAAAGGTACTTGAGAAGTACCTAAAATGGTAACGAAAATAGGAAATGTGTCCTTTACAAAATCCATTACACTATAATATACCTCATCATATATGCTTCCATTAATATCTGCGCCATAGATGGGTGCCACAAAAGTTAAGTTCTTCCAGTACTTGCGCTCCAAATCTTCATAATCCAAGTATCTTGGAGTACAGTATCTGCAAAAGATAAATGAAAAGAGCACAAACCAATATGACAATTGTAAGATTTTCCCCACCCATGTATCATTTTCTTATTTTTTAATTTTTAATGTTTTATTTATTTTTGAAAGAGAGAGAGAGACAGAGCACAAGTGGGGGTGGGACAGAGAGAGAGAGAGGGAAACACAGAATCTGAAGCAGCTCCAGGCTCTGAGCTGCCAGCACAGAGCCCAACACAGGGCTCAAACTTGTGAACAGCAAGATCATGACTTGAGCCAAAGTCAGACGCTCAACAGACTAAGCCACCCAGGAGCCCCTTCTTAAATTACATTCTAAACAAAATCTTATCAAAATGAAAACACTGCAACAACTCATATTGTCAAATCTAGTAAGTAAATATACCATTGTATTTATCATTGATCTCTGAATACTCTTAAGATTCCTAAATAACTCTATACAGTAACCTCATATTTTTGACTAGTAAGGAAATATTCTCATGGAAGTATCAAATATATAAGGAGAATAGTCAAAACCCCATTACTTTAGCTTTAAAATTTTTTCTAAAATCTTTAACCAATTATACTATACTAAATTTTACAGGCTTAGTTACATAAAAGGGCTTAAATAAAATACAGAACACAAGATAAGGTAGATCTTTCTATTTATTGACATTAATATCTCTCCACAGTGAATTAAGCAAGTTACAGAATACTATGATAATATTTATGTAAAAAATATCTATAACTGTACTCAAATGGTCAAAAAGAAATATATACCATATTATTAATATTAATGGTTATCTTTCACATTGGAATTACAGAAAGGCACTTGCTTCTCTGTCTTATTTGGGTTGTGAACAAATAATCTTATATTAATATGCACACACACACACACACACACACAAAATACCATTATTTCTACATGAAAAAAAGAAATCAAATGAAGAAAGTAATGAAACTGTTTGGCAGTAAAAAGAGTGCTTAGCAGCAGTAATAATCCTGATAAAGCCTATTGAATATTTTAGATTGAATAACTGTAGAACCATCAAAATTAATACCCACTATACTGGGACCGAAACTGGTTATCTAAGCAATAAGCAAGAATAGCAAACAATTTAACAACTGTATTTGAAATACAGAATCATTTGCTGATTTACTCAAATCATTAACATCTCAACAGAACAGTCAAAAATAAAAGGGAGGGGCATGAAAGCATCACTAACTCCACTGTAGTTCACCACTTCAATTAGTAGGTTCCAACAGTAACAAGAATTCTAGCCACAAGCTAAGCAAGCTAACCAGAGTTTAGACTCAGGCAATAAAAAAGGTAACAGAAATACTGTTTATTTTGATCTACAGAGAAATCTGCTAGACTTTGGGTACTGAAGTCTTAAATTGCCTTTCACTATTAGATGATCTAAAGAATCTATCACAATTCACTACTCAATCATGATTAATTTTTAACAACCTATAACTTTAAAAAGGAAACATATGGTTCAGTATTGGCTACTGATGTTAAATTCTAAGATCCGTGAATATCTGATACAAACAACAATTCTAAATTTGAAAAAAGTGACCAGTTCACTCAGTTGGCTACAGATTTCATCCCTAATGGACCGTTAAACAATCATAGCTGTCCCACAAATCCAGTGTCAATTTGCTCAAAAGCAATCCAACCTTTCCTTTTCGCTAGAACCTTTTATTCACTATATTACGATTGTTAAGAGATAGGTATCCAGGACCAGCCTGCCTAGAGCTTTGAATCCAGGCTTTACCATGTAAAAGCTATGTAACCTTGGGCAGGGGACTGAATTTCACCAGACCTCAGTTACTCCTCTATAAAAGAGGCTAATATCAATTGAGTTACTCTGAGGACTCTATCAAATATTTATCTAAAGGACATAGCTCCATGCCTAGAAGAAAGTATAGATCAGCAATATAAGTGATACATATTACTTACAAGAGAGCATATTACTTACCTCCATAGGTATTTTTATAGGAGAGCTATGTTGGAGGACTCTAGATTTTTTTTGGATTAGATTGTGTTTATCAACCAAATGAGCATGTTATCCTGTCTACTGTTTATACCAAGCACATTACATACTGTGCACCTATGCAAGGGCATGTACTGAATGAAGGAAAATAGATGAACAGAAAAACCAGAAGGATGCCTCCTGCCTCACATGAAAATTAGCCCCAACTCAAGACCATCCTACAACCATAATGAACACCATTTCACACTAGTACAGCTCTAAGTGAACAAGCAAGCCTTGGATTGAAACTTAGAAACCCATTTCACTGGCATTTGAAATAAATTTCCCACATGAAATTGGCAGATGAAATATAAAAAGAGAATTCTCAAAAGTACTTTAACATTGTAACAATTATAATGAAATTAATCCAACTCAAAAAATAAAGTTTAACATGGAATAACCTTTCAGGCATTTTATAATAGATATGTTTTGCAACAAGAAAAAAAGAGTCAATTATTTTTAAAAATCAGTTTTAAACTTCAGAAATTTAAGAAATGCACATTCTGTTATTAAAGAAATCATGACAATCTGTCCAATAATTATACTACTTCAAGTATATTTTGGCTTTCATGGCATTAATCATTCAATAAACATATACTGAAAGAGCACCTACTATACCCCAGATACTGTACCAGGTATTGGGTATAAAGTGATACACAAAACAAACAACATCAAAATGGCTATCTTCAGGAAGAGCCAATCTACAAACAAGGCACCTGAGCAAAAACTGAACAGATATATAAACAAAGTAAGTGTCTAGTAAAGTAAATTCCCTTTAAATAGGAAACTGATACTATGCTAGGGTAATCACAGGGGCTAGAGATGATCAAAGTTTCTCTGTGACCATAAAAAAAGGTCTTCCAGTCTCTTTTCTCATCAATTATTTTGAATTACCATGTATTATTAATGATGATTGGATCTGGGAGTTAAAATTTTGTGTTTCTATGATGTTTGAATTTTCAAATAAGAATGTTTTACTTTTGTAACTGATAAAAACATTTCTGACCATCTTCAAAATCCATCTCAGCAGCACCTACAAAATGAAATCATTCCTTTCCTGATTAACAACCAAAGAAGTCTTATTTTTCTTTGAAACTCCATAGCACCTTGCACTTTTCTTATGGTGACTATAATCATTACTAAAGGTATTAACAAACATTTTCTAGTAAGTATAATCTGATTACTTTTAAGTACAAATTGTCTCCTGAAATATCAAAGTAGCCAAGCAGATGTTCCACTAAATGAGCTAGACTATTTAATTAACACTTTAAAAATGACTCTGGAAATGGGTGCTAGAAAATAAATAACAGAATAAACCATTCATACTTATAAAAAGTTGGGTAAATTTTCTTCCACAATCTTGTTTCAAGAGCATCACAATCTTTTTGTTAAAAGAGTTCTTTTTGTTTTTAATATTTATTTATTTTTGAGAGAAAAAGAGACACACTGTGAGCAGGAGAGGGGCCAAGAGACAGGGAGACACAGAATCCGAAGCAGGCTCCAGGCTCTAAGCTTTCAGCACAGGGCCTGATGCAGGGCTAGAAATCAAGAACTGTGAGATCATGACCTGAGCCGAAGTTGGACACTTAACTGAGCTACCCAGGTGCCCCCAAAGAGTTCTTAAAGAGTCTGAATGCAAATCATTCCAGTCAGTGATAAAATTTTCACATTCTCAACTGAGATCTGACACTTTATTAATGCTTATCAATAATTTAAAAGAAGGAACTCACATTAAATATAAAAATTTCAATTTCTTTGAAAAAGTCACAATGTTCCAAAGGAGCTTTATACACAGAATTAAGATTTTTCAAGTACTATAAAGTACTTGCTATGTCAAATATAAATGTAAAAATCCTTTAAAAAGATATCAACTAAATTTATCCAAAGAGCTTAATTTCACACACACCTATCTGGAGAATTTGGACGTTTTCCGACTAGCTGATTGGTTGGTGGTTTTGGGGTTCTAATTTTTTTCTTCAAATTAATGTTTTGATCTAGAGCCTTAACTACCATATCAGAAACTTTTTTTAAAGGTAATTTAATAATAATAATTGTAATGGTTTCTAAATATGTCCACAAATACTTTGATACTCCTCCCTTCAAGAAGTGGAGCTTAATGGGGCACCTGGTTGGCTCAGTCGGTTAAGCATCCAACTTCAGCTCAGGTCATGATCTCATGGTTCATGGGTTTGAGCCCTGTGTGGGGCTCTGTGCTGGCAGCTCAGAGCCTGGAGCCTGCTTTGGATTCTGTGTCTCCCTCTTTCTATGACCCTCCCCTGCTCACAGTGCCTCTCTCTCTCTCTCAGAAATAAATAAAACATTTAAAATATTTTTTAAAAAGAAGTGGAGCTTAATTCTCCTCCCCTTGACTATGGGATTCACTTTGCAACTGGCTTGTAACAAATAAAATAACTCAAAAGGGATAGTCAAGAAACAGATCATGAAGAGATACTGTAGCTTCCATCTTGGTTACTCTCTTGCATCACTGGCTCTGGAAGAGGCCAGCTGCCAAAACATGAAGAGCAGTCCATGTAACAAAGAACTCAGGACTCTAGCCAACAGCCATGTAAGGGGAGCAATCTTAGAACAGGATCGTCCAGTCACAGTCAAGCTTTCAGATGATAACAGCCTCACCCACCTAACATCTTGACTGCAACCTCATGAGAGGCACTGAGCCACAGCCACCCAGTCACGCCACTCCCAGATTCCTAACCTTCAAAAACTAAGATAATAAATAAATGCTTATTGATTTTAAATCAATAATCAAAGCTATAAGGTTTGGTGTAATTTGTTACACAGCAACAGGTATAATTACAATAATGCTAATACAATAATGGTGGCCCTTCAAGTCATTCAAGGGTTTGGTTTTTTTTTTAATTACTTATATTCTAAATATATAATTTATCATTTGAGGCTTGAAACACTGTCAGGGGTATGGCATGGTATATGGCCCTGGGTAGCAGGCAAAACCAAATGTGCAGAGAGCAAAGGAAAATTCTCACCACCCTGATGGGTCCTTTCCCAAGCCCCTATGGGCATCAGAGGACTTGGGGACCTGTGAGCACCCACAAGGCACGAGAAGAATCTCTGCTGCCTGCCCTGCCTCACCCTGCCTCACACCAGGCTCAGCTGCCACCCTGGCCCCAGCTGCATCAAGTGGAGGAAGCAGAGGCAGAGGAGGGTGGTACCATGGGCCTGGGCTGTGTCCTCCACGCTGAGGGGATGAAGACACTGCTGCCATGGACAGCCCATGCCAGCCACAGCCCTTAAGTGAGGCTCTCCCAGGTTCTGTGTCTCAGCACTTGGATGCTAGCTGGGCCAGGACTGGGGTGAAGAGTTACCTGCCCTGTCCCCTGCTACCCTCCTACCACCAGCCAGGAGCACCTGATGATGCCTTGGTGGGGAGCAGGACCCCCAGGGCCACAGCCCCTTCCACCACAGCCAGCCTCCTGTGGGAGGGCTTCAGCAGACAGGATAGTGGTGAGATGCAGCCGCTGTAGAGTAAGAGCACTACAGCACTAGTCACCAAGGAGTACTAGCAACTGGTGGCCAGGGAGCCCTGCCTGAGGTCCCCAAAGGGAAATGGGCAGGAGCAAGTGGCCCTTGGGCCAGGCAGGAGAACTAGGAGGCAGAGGCCAAAAGGAAGGGTGACACGTGCTGCAGCAGTGGCAACAGTGAGGCCAGTGTGGGGCTGAGGGAGGAGGGACTGCCCATCGTGTCCAAGCGCCTGGCCCTGGACTAAACTCTACCCTGCAGGTGGTACTATAGCATCAGTGTCAAGGATAACTTCCTAGGGGCAGCACTGAGTGGCCATGTGCTGGCTGAGGTAGAGGCCCTGAAGCAGAGGGGGCACCAACGTGATAGGCAGCTCATGAGCCAACAGGCTATTTCACCATGCAGCTTCTGCAGGGACCAGACTGCCTGAGTAGAAGGCCATAAGCCCAGCTGCCAAAGCACTGGGGTCCTCATGGCCCACATGGATGTTATAATCTGCCACTGTGTTGGGTGCTAAGTGGCTATGTCATCCACAGCGCCTCAAGGCCATGGTGGTATTTTACTGATTCAACGGGCAGGGGTACATAAGGCATGTTGACAATCCACATGGCAGTGGGCACTGGGTCACCTGTATCTATTACCTGAATCAGAACTGGGACATGAAAAGTGCATGGCAAGCTGCTGTAATTCTTCCCTGAGGGCTGGGCCATGGTAACCAACACTGAGCCATTCTTTGATGGGTTGCTTATTTTCTGGTCTGATCAGTGGAACCCCCATGAGGTGAAACCAGCCTATGCCACCAGGTATGCCATCAGTGTTTGGTATTTTGATGTAAAGGAATGGGTAAGTATTAGCTAGCATCCGAGTAGAAAGGCGTCCAAGTACCTGTGTCATAGCCGATTACACTCACATCCTGGCCAGCCCAGAGCTGCATGGACAGACAGCTTGTCCTGACTTTGAGAGCGCCTTTGGCCCCATGCTGTTGGCCCAGCAACCCACCAGTCTCAGTGCCTGCTCCTTTTCTGCCAATGCTGCTGCTTCCAGCTTCATCTCTGCCTTGCCTAGTGTGGAGGGCTCATCTGACATTGAAGCCCAAGGAAGAAGAAAGACCTCTGCTGCCTGGTAATGGGGCTGGAGTTGTGACCTGGGCAGGGGCCAGTGTTGGGAGCTACTGGAGCTGGGGGCCTGTGGCTTACCCTCTGTGGTCCTGCTTCTCCCAGGTGTGAAGAACTAAGAAGGCATTGCCGCCTCCCACCAGGATACAGGATTGGGGGTTGGGAATGTCATAGCCTCTGGCTGGTAAAAGTTTGCTGGGGGTGGAGAGTATCTCCAAAACCCCATTCCTCCAGCCTGGAATGTGAGATGACTCCCCAACCCCATGGCCATGGTACCTTTTGGAATATACTACCACTGTGTGGACAGGATAGAAGGTGCTGGGAGGAGCATGGGTGTGAAAAGTCCTGTCAGACAAGAAGGAAATAAAAGTTTACTTCTCAGAGCTGCCAAAAAAAAAAAAGAAAAAAAGATTTAAACACTCTGACACAAAGAAGAAAACTTGCCTAAGGCGCATGAATCATGTGTAGAATCAAAAATTCATGGCAACTAAAAGATAGAAAAAAACATTTACAGATATTATGAATAAGATGATAAAATGAGAAACAACTTCCTTAGGAGTAAACTTAAATTTAAGCAGGCAACCACCTGAAGAACAGAAAACAGGAACAGTTAGGGGCGCCTGGGTGGCTTAGTCGGTTAAGTGTCCGACTTTCGCTTAGGTCATGATCTCGCGGTTCATGGGTTCGAGCCCCACGTCGGGCTCTGTGCTGACTGCCAGCTTGGAGCCTGGAGCCTGTTTCAGTCTGTGACTCCCTCTCTCTCTGACCCTCCCCTCCTCACGCTGTCTCTCTCTCTCTCTTAGAAATAAAAAAAACATAAAAAAAAGAAAAAGAAAACAGGAACAGTTAAATGAAAACTGAAGGAAGAAAGCAGAAAACCACTGCTTTTCATCACAAGCTCCTCAGTCTACTTTCCTACCATGTTCATGCATATCTCTGAAGAAAATAAAAATAGCAAACTGCATGCACTTACTTGCCACTGTTAGCCAGCTGCCTGAACTCCTTCACTGTCATGGCTTTTTTCTGGATGTTATATTGAGTAAACAGTCCCGACTGCCCTGTGACCATCTGCTGAATTGGTGCTGGAATAAGCAAATTATCAATGTCATCATAGCACTGCCTTGGCTTCCATTCCCGAGGAGGAATTACCTAAAAATAAAATAATAAAATATTATCTGGGAAATATTCCAATGGACTACAAAGAATTTCTCAGCATTTCTAAAACAAGTGTGTAAAACAACAGTGAGGATTCAGATTAAGGGAACACTTGCATTCTCTTGAATATTCACCTTACAAATATGATTCTTTAAAAACAGCAAAATTTATTGATCACTATACCAAATAGTACTTTTACATCAAATACTGTACTTTTACCAACTTATTTTTTTGTTGATACTATTAACCTCTCAATTTTAAAGGTAAAATCAAGAGACACACAGAAGCAAAATAACTTGCTGAAGTTCAAATAATGCCTATATTAATATGATAATTCTCTTTAAATACCTTTCACACAATATAGCAAACAGCGTAGTAGTTGGTATACTAGTAAATGTTTAACCATCAGCTTTCCAGAAAGGTAGAGAAATCCCTGGTTTGTAGCTCTTGCCTATTTCTATGATGTAACTACTCGCAGCATGGCAAATTTGAGTTTACCATCATGACATAATTGAACACAAAGTTAGAAAGAGATGTGCATTATCAATTTTTATGTTCCTGTATGAGGTTGTTCAGCACACCACTTTTTTCCAACACAATTTAAACACTTAGTTCTTAACAATTAAAAGATCAGAGGCACCTGGGTGGCTCAGTTGGTTGAGCGTCCAACTCTTGATTTCAGCTCAGGTCATGATTCTAGGGTTATTGGGTTGAGCCCTGTGTCAATCCAATTCTCTCTCTCTCTCTCTCCCCCCTTCTCCCTCTTCTCCCACTTGCACTCTCGCTCTCTCTCTAAAATAAATAAATAATTTTTAAAAAGATTATCTTTAAAAAAAATTTTTTTTAAACAAAGAAAAGAGGAGCACGTAGGTGGCTCAGTCAGTTAAGCGTCCGACTTCAGCTCAGGTCATGATCTGACGGTTCATGGGTTCGAGACCCGCATCAGGCTCTGTGCTGACAGCTAGCTCAAAGCCTAGAGACTGTTTAGGATTCTGTGTATCCCTCTCTCTCTGACCCTCCCCTGCTCACATTGTCTGTCTGTCTGTTTCTCTGTCTCTCTCTGCCTCTTTCTCTCTCTCAGAAATATTTTTTTTTATTTTTTTAATTAAAAAAATAAAATAAAATAAAAACAATGAAAAGATCAGTAAACAATAAGACCAAAAAAATGGTCGTGTGATTAAAAATTAGAAGGGAAAAAGTTATAAACTCGTGATTTATAGCTGGAATTTATCCACCTTCAGAAATTGTTTTAATTTTTAAGATAAACTTCAAAGAATTAATTGCAATACATAGATAGCACACATTAATAAAATGCACAATCACAAATAACTGTGAATTATTATAAAGCAAACACCAGAGTACCTCCAACTGCCCATCAAACACATCTCTCTCTTGCCCAAAAGGTAAGAGCATAGCATTTACGATATTCACTTCCTTGCTGGAGTTTATAGTTTTATGCCTGGGTATGCATCCCAGCACTGATTTTTTTTTTTTTTTAATGTACAGAACCGCAATCATCCATATACACATATCTTCTTTGGTTTATCTTTTCTATTTCACTCAATATTTTTGTAAGGTGTCAGATATGATGGCCTATGATATTACAGTTCATGAGCTTGAGCCCTGTATCCACCTCTGCACAGTCAGCGTGGAGCCTGCTTGGGATTCTCTCTCTCCTGTTCTATCCTCTCTATTGCTCATCTCCTGCTCATGTGCAATCTCTCTCACTCTCTCTAAGAATAAATAAATTAACTTTAAAAAAAAAAACACATATGATGGCCTACATAGCTGAAGTTCATTGATTTTTCACTCCTACTCAGTATTCCTTCATACACATATTTATCCATAAATGGGTGACCATTTATTGGCCACTTGTTTTTTTCTGCTTATAACCTTTTGCAAGAATACTGCTATTAATATTATTGCATGCATCTTCTACTGCATATGAGCACAGTTCTCTAAAATAAACATGTATACACAGATACTCCTAACAGTGACATTATTGGGACACAAGATATGTATAGATCAAATTTAACAGTTATTACCAAATGTTTTTTAAAGTGACTGAACCAGTTCACAATCCCACCAGCAGTGCATAGAGAGTTCCTGTTGCTTCACATCTTCATCATCACTTTATATTGTCTATCTTTTAAATTTCAGTCTTTCTTGTAAGTTGTGTAATGGTAGTCAAGTGTGGACTTTATTTGCATTTTCCTAATTATTAAAGAAATATTTTCATATATTCCCTATGAACATCCCCTTTTGTAAAGTGCTTATTCAAGTCCTACCCATTTTACTATTGCACTGTTGGTCTTTCTCTTATTAATGTATAGGGATTCTTTAAATAGCCTGGTTATTCTTGGATGTGTGTATGTATACATTTGCAAATAACTATATGCATATGTGTGTATCTATTAAATATCTTCTCTTACCCTATCACTTGCCCTCCAACCTTAAGAGCATCCTTTGATAAATATTAAGCTCTTAATCTTAACAAAATCCAATTTGTTCATTTTTGCCTTTATGGGTGCTGCTTTGATCTTTGGTTTAAAAAAATTTTTTTTCCTACTCTGGAGCATGAAGGCATTCTATTTTATATTATAGTGTTTTAAGGTTTTGTCTTTCATATTCAGATCTATAGTATTCCTGCAACTAGCCTTTGTGAACTCTCTAGGTCAAGCTTCATGAAATGAGAAAATGGGGTCAGAAGAATGAGTGACTTGTCCAATGTTAAACAGCTGACAAATGACAGTATTTACTACAAAAAAAAACAACAGTGCAGTGTCAAATCTAAAGTTAACTTAATTTTCATTGGCAATATAGAGATATTTCACATTTTATTTCATCTGAGGTATGTTAGTTTACAGTGAGAATAGAGGGGTGCCTGTGTGGCTCAGTGGGTTAAGCGTGCAAGCACTCTCTCTCAAAAAAGAAATAAATAAACATTTAAAAATAAAGTATTGAGTATATGCTTTCTTTTTTTTATTTTTTTTATTTTTTTTTTTAGGAGAGAAAACATTTTTTAATTGGCCCTTGATTTTATCATCTGTAAAATGGCAATATAATAATATGCTCCTTCCAAGTTGAAACAAGAAAATGAATACAAAGCAGTTAATTCAATGTATTTAATATCTGGAATTATTATCAACAACACTTATACATACATAAATGTGTATGTATACACACGTATATACCTATATATTACATGTGTTTTTTTGTATATGTATACTGATATACATATGCACACACAAATATATTCATTTCATAAGGCTCAAGGTAAACAAATACATTGTTAATAGCTGTTGCTTTGTTTTTTCACATATTGCTATGCACATCTGCAACTTGTGGTTAAATCTTTTTTTTATTTTTTTAAATGTTTATTCATTTTTGAGAGATAGAGAGAGACAGAGTGTGAGCAGGGAAAGGGCACAGAATCTGAGGCAGGCTCCAGGCTTTGAGCTGTCAGCACAGAGCCCGACACAGGGCTAGAACTCATGACCTGAGCTGAAGTCAGATGCTTAACCAACTGAACCACCCAGGTGCCCTTTGAGTTTATGTTTTCAATAGCATATAATCTCTATTCTCACTTTTCTTTTATTTCTTTTTGAGAGAGAGAGACACAGCAGGGGAGGGGCAGAGAGAGAAGGAGAGAGAGAGAAAATCCCAAGCAGGAGCCACACTATCAGCATAGAACCCAGTGTAGGGTTCTAACTCGCAAACCGCGAGATCATGACCTGAACCAAAATCAAGAGTCGGACGCTTAACCGACTGAGCTATCCAGGCACCCCATACTCAAAACTTTAAAAAAATAGGGATAATTGTACCAAACAGATATGGATAAACATACTAAACTGTCTTCATAACATACTGAAAGGGAAAAGGGTTATAAATGCTAACTTTTTCTTCATCAGAACTAAGTGTCGGTAATTCAAAAAAATAAAACATGGATTGATTCAGGCTCCTGTTTAGAAATAACTATATTTACAATCAAAATTAATATTATATTTAAAGTTTAATATTTTCCTGTCTTGTAGAAAAAAAAGTTTGTAGCAATTTTATAAATTTAGAAAAGCAATGAATACCTTAAATTTACAAAAATTAAACATTATCTTTGTAAACATTTCATATATGTGTTCACACTTATTTTTGATCAAAGTGTTCAGACAGAACCTTAAAAATTTGTAAGTGCAGGCCTATAACAAAAATCTTATTTTTGAACTATAATTTTAACTCTCAACACATCAGATTTTCTTACATAGGAAATGGAAGCACAACATACGCAGGATTTTAAAAGATTCGAAAGTTAAACTTTTACATTCAATCAGTCTAACTGAAGGAAAAACCTATTCCTCTGAAAGTTTACCTTCTTGAAAATTCTATCAAAATGAAAATATACATTTTATTTTATTTCAACATTTCCCCAAACCCAGCCTGGACTCTATATCCAATAGAAATTTTCTGACTGAAATCTATACTTGTACTACTTACCTTGAAATAAGTTGCTATTATCACCGTTTACCTACTGAGGAAGAGGCAGGAAGAGGAAGAACCTTGCAATCTTTCTTCACACCTCGAAGACACAAAACTATGTAATGTGCATAACCTATAACCTAGGATAGTCTATGTCCAGATTACTGTTGTGGAATAACTTTACCCATTTCATATGTAATAAAGGTTCATCATAATCCTTCTCCACAAAAACACTGTAAATTTTACATTTAAAGAGACTAGCATTCTTCACTTTCCCAACCTGACCACCATCTTTTATATAAAGTCAGGGTGTCAAATCTCTCACTATGGAAATAAAAGTTAAAATCTAAAGTATAAATCTAAAAATGTTCATTAAAGAAAAATCTAAGGCCAAAGTCACTACTATTGGAATTACACAACCATTTTTTCCAAATCATATTTTAAGATCAATTCATTAAATTGTGCATTAACAAAGAATCTCATGGGTGGCTCTGTCTCCAGGGCTTGACCGCAAAGCAAACTAGCAGCATTAATACAGTTTTGATTTTTACAATTTTATTTGGTGCAGTTTTACACATTTGCTTTGCTGCAACTTCCAGGAAAATAAGGCAAGTAGGTGAAACTGACTTTATGTGACTTGATATAAAAGATAACACAAATGGCAAAAAAAAAACTCACCCAAAAAATAAAAAAAAACAGTTCATTTTATTTCTAGTAGAAGAAAACGAGACAAGATTGAATAAATGTATCTCTCCAACTTTGTAAATAAATCTCACCAATAAAAAAAAAAAATGTCTAAGGGCTCCTGAGTGGCTCGGTAGTTAAGCATCCGACTTCGCCTCAAGGTCATAATGTCACAGTTTATAAGTTTAAGTCCCACATCAGGTGAGCTCGAGCCCAGCTTCAAGTGAGCCCTGCTTCTTTCTCTTTCTCCACCCCCCCCCGATTCTGAGATTCTCTCTCCCTCAAAAAAAAAAAAGTCTAGACTCAGCTGTGTTTTGTTCAACATTTAGAAAACTAATTGCGGTTCATAATGCCAACAGTAGCACAGGTGTACCCTGTGAGCCTGCAACTCCCTTGTGAGGGTGTGTGTGTTGCTTCCCCTCCTAATGTTACTAAACATGCCACCCTACCACAGGATACTCACTAATCTCAGTGGAACACAGTAAGATCTGTTTTCAAGAAAGAAAAGGAGAGAAAAACAGGACAAAGGGCTGCATTCAAAGCCCAGAGAAGGGGACAACCAGTCACCCCCAACTTCCTTCCACCCAATTAAAGTCCAAATCCTTGCTAACCCACTGCTAGTTTATGGTCAAAATTATATGTGGCAAACGATTCTGAAAATACATTCTCTTCAACTGAAGAATTATTTTTCTCTTCAAAGATAACTGAAGTGTTGAGGTTCCATAAAGGAGTTCTTTAAGAACTAACTCAATAAATAGGTTAAAGTAAGAATTCCTCATCTGAGAAATTCATTATAAACCTCTTTACTTTTCTCTTTGTTTTCTCTTTATTTTCCTTTTCAATCTCTCACCCACCCCTAATAAACTTTCACTCTACTTAATATCCCCAAATTTTAAACCTTTTCTAGGAGGGTCTTCAACTATACATAACAAACTGAGAGACCTCAGGGGATAGATACAGTACAAGCCAGGAGCATCCAGATGCAGGAGGACCTGAACACCAACCTCTGCAATTCTGGAAGTTCTCTCTTCTGATATATGCTCTTAATGTTACTGGACCTCCCCTCAGAGTTGGGGATTCCAAGGAGCACCCATAACCCAGCCACAGTCAGTAGGCTCTGGCAGAGCTCAGGAACTTATATGAGGTGATGCTGACAAAGCTACAGAAACCCAGATTACAAGTTTAACATTTAGAATAATAAAATGAAGTTAAGTGCAATAAAACATACTCTTCTGAGGTAAAATTTTACCCTCCCTCACCCCCCAGCCTCTTATGAGGGAAGAAATGGCAGACAATCCATCTCAGGTTGAGATCAAAGGATGAATTATATAGATGATCTCTTTTTCAAAGTTCTAACTTTGGGGCGCCTGAGTGGCTCAGTCAGTTGAGTGTCTGACTTCAGCTAAGGTCATGATCTTGCAGCTCCTGAGTTCAAGCTCCACGCTGGGCTCTGTGCTGACAGCTCAGAACTTGCAGCCTGCTTCAGATTACGTGACTCCATCTCTCTCTGTCCCAACCCTTCTCATGCTATCTCTATCTCTCTCAAAAATAAACATTTTAAAACAAATTTTTTAAAACAAACAAATAAACAAACAAACAAAAAGTTCTAACTTTGGGTCTATGGGTACAAACCTATAATGCAATCCTCAGTGCCTTCTGTGATCCTTAGCATATCATAACTACCCCTGACAGGAGTCTCTGTTCCTACTCTGTCTCCCTACCACATCCATTCTTCATGCAGGAGCCATTGTGACATTTTCAAGATAATGACACAAAATTACAAATAGCCACCATGTCCTCCTCTCCTCTGCTTTAAGCCCACCAATGCTTCCCATTGCACTTAGAATAAAACCCCAATCCTTACTAAGGCCAAACAAGCCCAGTAGTATCTGGTCCATTCAGGGGCCCTCACCTTACTTACCAATCTCTTCTACTATTCACTGAACCCAAATCCACCTTCCTCCCACATTTAAAGCTCAGGTCAGCCTCCAGGTCTCTGGACTTGCTATTCTTTGCATCCCCACATCTTGTTTTCTTTATATCCTTTGGGTTCCTGCTTAAATGTCTTTATTTCACCACCCTAAGAGGCTACCGCTACAATATAAGCTCAAGGGGGACAGAAACGTGGTCTGTTCTATGCCATCACACCCACCAGCACCTGGCATTGGACCTGGTATGTAGCAGGCACTCTCCACACTTGCTAAGCAAGTAACTGAAAAGAAAAGAAAACAGGCAAATCTATACAGAATGAAAACAGATCACCTAGGGTTGGGGGAATAGCTCTCACACCTCTGGAGCCCCATACATGGATACCTTTGTTTCTAGGAGCCACTCTTGGTTTGTTTTGTTTAAATAAAAAAAAAAAAAAATCCCTAGAACATAACCTAGCATAAATAGGTAAAAGAAAAATAAGATATTATTCTGTGAAAAATCAAAAGCCCTGCATGCATTAAGAAAAACAAATCTCCCATATCATGAAGACTAAGAGTATAAATGAAAGGCCAAGTGATTGTTTTAGGTTTAAAGGATCTGAGGATAATCACCTTTGCAAGACCCGCTCGATGGGCTCCTTTAGACTCCATGTATGCAAGGTATTTGTTGAACTCCCGAAACTCCTCCATGGAGGGTCTGAAGGTCATGATCTTACAGCTGGGGTTCAGAGGACTCTCCACCTCGGCCACCTCCATAATGACTAGGGCAGTCTCTGCAAAGAAGATGATGCGGTCATCAGCACTGAATTATTGTGTGCTTAAGGTTGGCGGTCATTTCTCCCAAATAGCATATAAGCATCCCCAGGAGAAGCTCTTCTCCTGTATTTACCATTCCCTCTACCACGCCACTAAAGAGATTTCCTAATCTCTCCCTGGGCTCCTGGTGGGAAAATCTGCCTCTCGTCTTCCTCCTCCCAAGTTCCTATTTCTGTGATTCAATCACTGACTGATTGTATTACTCACCTCCTCAAAATCCTTCCTAGTAAAAATGAATTTTCTAACTTCACAAGTTTACAAAAGGTGTTGTTCCTATGTACCAGTTCTGAAACACTCTGTCATACACGCACCTGCATAAAGGCCTAGCCTAGGTTGAGTAGTGAATGGACTATGTTCAACACCGCAGCACAGACCTGACTTTAGGTGTGCTTCCACTTGTCATAATATCTTTCCTAGAATAATTTACAAACTACCCATTCAGCAAAACTACCAAGCACCAGACTGGAGACAGAGAAACAGATGTTTGTCTTCACCATCCAAACTGATTGTTTAGAGGCAGAACAAACTTCAACTCAAAACTGTACAGAGGCAGGAGTAACTAACTCCACCTAAATTACTCAGAAATGACTTTCCCAGAAAGGAACACAGTTAAGACTTATCAGAAGGTGTGAGATTTGAAAGAATGCCAGATGAAAGAAAAAGCATTCTAATCAGTGAAAATACCTGGAAGTACCATAAAGACAGAGAGAGTTTAGTTTGTCAGGAGCTTAGAAAAGATTACAGAATTTAAAAGTAAAAAAGTAGGTAGTAGGCTGTGTTATAAAAATATGAACTTAATCGTGCTGACAATAGTCAGGATGATTCCCTCAACATTTATTAATCACCTAATACACATGGAATGCAAAACTGGGTAAGAAGCACTGGCCTGCCTGCCCCAAAAAGGAGTCCTGTCCCAACCCACAGTATGCAGTAATAGCACCTGGCATCTGACAATCCAAACCACAAATACAAAGCTTTCCTTTTTTTTTTAATAAATTTAATTTGACTGACAAAAAGAAAAATTGGGAAGGGATGAAATAGAAAAAGATGAAAACATGCTATGGGATAATAAGAGGTTAAAACAGATCAGGGCTACAGATAAAGATGTGAATATCATTCATTAAAGGTTTAAATAAGCATCTATCTCACAAAGTACATGTGGGGAGAATCAAAATTAAATACTGCCACCCACTAAGAATTTTAATGTAAAGGAGAAAATAATCTGCATGGATATACATATATTAATACATGACAGAAAATATTCTTCTTGCCTCATGAATGAGGCATACAAAAGAAAAACCCTTCTAGGCCACCTCCCTGCCCACCCCCCTTCACACCTGTACAGATACACAGGCCAAAATCCATGGGCTGCAGAATGGAGGTCTAATCTCTATGCAGGATACACATGATCCTTTAGAAGCGCCTAGATTAAGCCTTTACATAACTATCAGGCCTGGTCCCTCACCACAACCTGCATTATACTTTAAGCTCCAACAATTTGCACCAATTTGTGCTTCTCTCAACAAACAGAGCTCTCCATGCCTTTGCCCAAACCACTCCCTCCCATGACAATAGCCTTCACATACCTCCTCACCCGGCAAGATTCTCAACCCATCTCAAGTAGGCATAAGTGAACCATCCTGTGTGTTTTGACCTCCCTCTCTGCATTCCTTATAACAGTTGCCTGTCCCAATGGTTGACACTTATGATCATATGCTGAAACTTTAAGCTCCTCAAAGGAAAAGCAGTCTGTTTAAGCCCTAACTTCAAGTCTGAGATCCAGCCTGGTTTGTAACATCTGCTATAATAACTATATGCCAACTGAATGAAGAAATAATTGACAAAATGTTAAAATATATACATAAAATAATATCAAATGCAGGAAAAAGGAAAGCATTGATCTCAAACACAGGAAAGCTACTTAGAAAACAAACGCATTTGCCTGTGATAAAGAATAATAGAACATAAAAATCTGAGCAGTGAAAAAGTGGAAGAAGTTCTCAGATTACCTTTGTAGAAATATTTGGTACCTGGAAGGCAGCCTTACTTTTCTCCTGGCCAAAGAACAAAGATGGCATGTGTAGCTCTCTAGCAGAGGAAAAAGCCACTAGGAAAGAAATGAGAAATCCAGCCAGTCACTCAATGAACAGTTACTGAATGCCTAACTGCTGAGTAGGCATTCAGGAAGGAATGCAGAGAAACCCTAACAGGTGTGGAGTGAAATAGACAATAAATAAGTCATAAACCCTCTGAAAAAGAAACCAGGGAGTAGCTATTTTATACAGGGTAGGTGAGGGAAGACATTTCAGATGCCCAAGAGAGGGAATAAATCTGCAGATATCTGGAAGAAAGGCATTTTGAACTAAGCAACAGCAAGGAGCCTCTTGGGCTCTTCAAGGAATAGCAAGGATGTAGTGTGACTGGAACTCTTAAGAGAGAGAATAGTGAGAGGGGAGATGAGGAGGGGAGGAGTTTGGGGGAAGTAATCTGGGGCTCTTCCCCTTCTTGTACATTTCCCATTCTTGCTACATGCATTTCCATTCAAGGACATGACATGACTTTCTAAGGTAACTCTCTTGGAGGATTTTAAGCAAAGCAGTGAGCAGGATCATCACTCTGGCTGCCGTTCCAAGCAAAGACAAGACTGAAGCACAGAGGCAATTTACATCAATCCAGGCAAAATAAAATGGTGACTTTGACCAGTGGAAGGAAGTAAGAAGTGGTCAGATTGCAAATATATTTGGAACAGAATTTCCTGATAGAAGTGAGAGAAACATACAAGATTTTTGGCCTAAAATACAGAACAATGGTTCTGACAAGAAACTGAAGCCAGGAGAGTGTTAAGATATGCAGCGAATTAGTAGCAATCAAATTAAACCCCTGCCCAGTTTGCTAATTGGCCTGTGAAACATACTTTGCCTCCACATGTCACTACTCCCTGACTACACAAAAATAGTTCTACCTACAAATCAGGTACATATACGAAAGACCTGGTTAGCTTACATTGCAGACCTTTTTCAATTTATAAAGGTAATATATGATCATTATAAAATTTGAAATACACTAAAGTATATGAAAATTTAATGTTGTTCCCACCACCCTAATCTTTGCCAAAATGACAGGCAAAAAAAGTCTACTATTAAGTTTCTTTTATTTTTAAGTTTATTGAGAGAGAGAGAGAGAGAGAGAGAGAGAGCAGAGAAGGGGCAAAAAGAGGGAAAGAGAAAATTCCAAGCAGGCCCTGACTCAGGGCTCAATCCCAAAAACCATTAGATCATGACCTGAGCAGAGATCAGGAGTCAGATCTTAACCCAATGAGCCACCCAGGTGCTCCATGTTTCCTTTTATTTTTTTTAAATACTAGTGATATTGATCATTTTGGCACATTAATAACCATTTTCATTTCATTTTGGGGTTTCCTTCTTGCGTTCTTTACCCTTAAAAGGTAGCTTATAAATTTTCTGCTCCTTGAGGATTTTTTAATCCACATTTATCACTTCTAAATTTAATCATGCTGCTACAATCAAATTCCCAGCTGCCCTTCTTTCTCTTTTGCCTTTATTTCTCTGAATCATGTAGAAAAGTAGGTTTAAAATGCTCTTGCAATAATATTTCCTAGTCAGAAAAAAGACTTATATTTTGGGAAGAATATACCTATGATTTTCAGCTGAAGGTGATGCAATAATCATACACCTCTTTAAAGACTGAGTCCCCAAAGTGAGTGACAGCAATACCTGTGATGACAACTTTGTTGTTATGCTTCTACAGAGCTAGGATTCAATGTTTGTATAGACCACTTAAACCAAATAGCCATTATTTCTGGTAAATACCCTAAGAATTTTTTCTTAATGAGCTAAAGATCTTTTTTATTAAGCGAAGAAAAGTCTAACACTAATTCATACACCTATAACTCTCCCAAGCTTCTTTTCTGAAAAGTTTTACCTTATCATGAAGGACAAACATCTCTTCTTCTTATTTTAATCTTGTATCTTTATTTGGCAATAACAAAAAGAAACTGGGGCTGAAGCCTTCCTGCTAAATGTAAATCTATATCCCATATTGCTTTCTTGTGTGCACCTGTATTTCCAACTTGTGTTCTCTTATTTAAGCAACTTCTATGAAAAACATAAAAATGGATAGTTCTCATCTTAGGGGTATTATTTTCTTAGAAATGCCTACCCAGAGAACTGGTCCACACTGCTGTCTCCGAAGGGAACACTTAAGGATCTACTATAAAGTACAACCCTGGGAGATAAAGCACTCACCATTTAAGCAGATAATTTATTAAACTAAGAAGAAAATGAACTAAGGCATGATTACCAGCTGTGCTGATATTAGAAGAGAACACTCCCCCACGGTTCCTGACATGCACTTGCCAGAACACTGGAGGCATCCTTTCCAATCCTCACTCCTCCCTCCCTACAGTGAGATTTTAAAAGAAACTAAGCAGTCAAGGCCCAGAAAGAACAGGTGTGACTACCTACTCTATTTCAGTTCCCAAGTGGCAAGTCCACCAGAGGCAGCTGGAAATCTCACATTTCTCTTTAAAAAAAAAAAATGTTTATTTCTTTATTTTGAGAGAGAGAGAAAGTTAGTTTGTGAGTATGCAAGCTGGGGAGGGGCAGAGAGAGAGGGAGAGAGAGAGAACCCCAAGCAGGCTCCATGTTCAGCTAGGAGCCCAACATAGGGCTCAATCTCATGACCCTGAGATCATGACCTGAGCTAAAATCAAGAGTCAAATGCTTAATCAATTGAGCTACCCAGGCACCCTGGAAGTCTGGCATTTCTATTGCAACACTGAAGCTCACCCAGTTTGGTCTCACAGTGAGCCAAGTAAGCTTCTACTTGCAGAGTGCCTCAGTCTGGCATTGTAATGAGCTCAATTATGTCCTCCCAAAAGATGTGTTAAAAACTAACCCCTAATATCTGTGAATGTGACTTTATTTGAAAACAGGGG